TTACCCAATAAAATCGTAACTGATAACGGTACTTTATTTTGTTCATTAGAATTTGAAAATGTTCAAAAAAATAATCATATTTTGCATATTACTAGTCCTCCTTACCATCCTTCCTCTAATGGGGCAGCAGAGAACGCCGTTAAGACAATTAAAAATGCTCTGAAAAATGCACTTGGGAAAAGCTCTAATATTAACATTAATTTAGCGCTCAATAATTTTTTATTTGATTATCGTTTAACCCCACATTGTACAACAAATGTAAGTCCGGCGAAATTAATGTTAAAAATAAATTTACGCACTCGTTTTGATATACTTTTACCTGGTGATCAAAACAAACTGAGAAATCATGTATCAAAGGTACAAGAAAAACAAAAACTTCATTCTAGTGGTAAAAGGTTTTTAGTGTTCGAGCCAGGTGAACAGGTGACTGTGCGCGATTATCGAAGAAAAAATAAGGTGGAATGGATAAAAGCCATTGTTGTTGAAACAATTGGGAAAGTTACATATATTGTTAAAATTCCAGAATTGCAAGACACAGAAAGGAAACGTCATTTGAATCAAACGAAAAAATTTCATATCGTGGAATCTTCACTTCCAGTAGTGTCTCAAGCAGATGATTCAAATGAAGTTTCTAGTGTAAATAATGATATACATAGTGATGTAAATAGTAGGCCCAAAAGGGTGGTCAAACCAGTGAATCGTTTAAATTATGATTAATTTGGGAGATTGTAAATATTAAATTTAAAGTAATTACTTCTATTTTTTTTTTTTTTTTGAGGGGGAGATGTGGAATATCTAATATAATTATTTCATATTATTTTATAGATTCAAATTGTTACACCCTGTAAATTTAATTTCTTATCTTGTAGAGACATTTTTATATTTTGTATTGTGTTTAATTCATAGACCCTAATTAGTTAGTTGCAATCACCCTCAAATTAGGGTTAAATATATTGCAGTATGCAACCGAATAGCCAAAATGAAAGCAGAAGATGCTTCAATTGTGGAAGAATTGGACACCTTCAAATAACTTGTCGAAGCAGGGCTCGTTCTGTAATTCGAGGGGAATGATACCAGAAATTCACCTAGATCAACCTCCCGAAGCCCGTCACGAAGTCCATCAAGAAATAATTACCTCAGATATGCCTCCCGGAGAAGCCGGTCACCCACACCTAGCCGGCTTTCTAGCAATAGTTAGGGAAACAAATAAAGGTCGACACTACGGGGCAGGCGTCAGCTGTAACAGAGGGCCAAAAATTCGCACTTACACCTTAAATAAAAACGAACAAAATCTATTAGGCAAGGGGTATATCGATAACCAAGAAGGCACCTTCGTTCTTGATACTGATGCAACCAAGTCTTTTATTCGAACAGGGGTCCTGCATCGAAAACCACGATCAACTCGAAGAAGCTTAGTTCTGGAAACAGCTACAGGCGAGATATCAGCAACCATACAGATTGATAATACCCTGATAGAACACTTAATTCTGGTTACCGATATTAAGGATCAGTGTGTCCTTGGTATGGATATTATGCAAAATAAGTTTATCATCGACCTTTAAAACAAGATCTTGGTAATTGGAAACGAGGAAATTGTCCTAAATTCTAAAGAGAAGACTCAACCGATAAAAGTCCTAGTTGAAGAAGACATAGAAGTACCCCAAAATTCTAAAGCTTTTGTCTCGGCAAGACTTAGCGATAAATCACACAGCATGCAGGTGGGCATTAAGGAAAGTGAAGAATCTGTGAGTGACGGAATTCTGGTAGCTAGATGTCTCGTTAAAATTGATCAACTAATTCCAGTAAGGGTGGCCAATTTAACGAAGAAACCATTCAAACCAAAGAAAGGCCAAGCACTAGGGCTCTGTACACCGGTGGAAAACATAATCAAGTGCGAAGACCGTTTCACGGGGCAAACCACCATAAGTAACTCAGTTGACGCCAGCTTTGTAAATCAGCTAGTTAAAAATTATAACCACCTAACAGCTGAAGAATTTATCAATACCGTGACATTTTTGAGACAGGAAAATCTACGGGACATACCAGTCTTGTTCAGCATATAATTTATACAGGCGATGCAAGGCCAATACGACAAGCACCTAGAACACTTCCATTTGTACGAACGAATTGCCATATATATCCTCAGGCTATTTCCCTTAACAGAAAGGGGAAACAAATACTTGATCGTTGTTATGGTCTATTTCTCAAAGTGGCCCAAAATAGTGCCTATTCCTAATCAGGAAGCGACTACAGTAGTGGAAGCATTTATAACCAACGTCATTGCGAGATACGGAGTCCCCCTGGAATTACATTCTGACCAAGGATGAAATTTTGAATCCGACGAAATGTCATTATTTGTCAGGAAAAATCTAGACGACAGTTCGAGAAGGTTCAAAAAGTCTAGCAAGCTATATAAGCCGATGATCCTGACGTCAGTTTTCAGTTTTCAGTTTTATGATAGACGTTATAAACCTTTATTCGGAACCTTTAAAAAGCAATAAGAAATAATTTTATCCTCCTTTAATAAATTTTTATTCTTTATTGGTATGGCGTGAAACAGGTTTTATGAAGAAAAAAGTTTTATTTATATATTCTCCAAAAACAAAATTGTTGTGAACTCTTTAGATTACAGCAGTGGATACTGTACGTGCATTGTTTCCAGGAACTGTTATTTCGAAATTTGGGGACATCTCTTTTCCGCCAAGATCACCAGATCTTACGCCCCTAGACTTTTTTTGTGGGGATATTTAAAGAGTATCGTCTACATCGATACTCCAGCCACTACGGAACAGTTGCAAATTTTACAACGAAGTTCACTTTAATGTGAAAGTCGTTACTATTTTATAGTGATTTTTTCACGCCCCCACCCTAAACATTCAATTGAACGTTAAAAATTAAAAATAAATTTTTATGTAAGAAAGTAAAAATGTATTAATAAAAGGAATATTAGATAAAATTATTCTTATTAATAAGCAATAACTTAGTATCTGGAGTTTACAGACCATTATCACATTATTTTACCAAAAATGTTCTTTTGTAACACCCTACTACTACGACAACCCGATATACACATGTGTATTTAAAGTTGCCTACCCGTGGACATTATTTCTAATTATTTCTACCAGATCGATATTGCGATCGAAAGAAATAGATGACAGTATGCAGTTTACCGCGTTTTCTAAGACTGAAGTCAATCCTTGCCGAAAAAAGCAATGACTACCATATTTTGTATTTTTGCCTTTTATATTCAATGATTTAACTTTTCTTTGTCAAATGTGATTTTCTTTGTTAGTAAATTTGTTAAGTGTGTAATAAACTAATGCCACTAAGTTTTAACGGTTTTAATACTCTCCAAAAATAAAAAGGGCTCTCCGAATCTACGAAATATGTTAGCATTCAACACCACCCTTGCTACACTTTTTAATTTTTGACCTTCATGTATTTTACATTTCAAATATGGCCAAGGTTTTAGTTGCACAAAAGTATTTATATAATACATTTATGCTTTAAAAACAGCAACACAACAACAAAGAAATTTGCCCAACTTTTCCATAATTTACAAGAATTTATTGCCAATTGTCTACGAGTGTACCTACTTTCAAATGTGGTATACACCTAATCCTGTAAGTACTATTTAACATAATTTAATATAATTACCAGACTTAAAGAACTAAAGTTTCTATTACAGTCAAAATATTACTCTAGAGGAATAAACCCCGACGAATCAAATACAAAATAACTTAGACGCATTTGCCAAATTATAAAGTTGATAAAAATATAGTACCAGGATAGTTGGAATTTCTGTGTGTTTATTTGCAATTTCATATTTTTTTAACACTTTTCTTCGAAGTGCCCCGCTTTTTTAAACTTTTTCCAGCGCACATGTCCATTTTGTTAACTCAAACATCAACAAGCCAATAACGTATTAAAATAGAAATAATGAAATTGGCTCTATTAAACCAGGAATATTTTTGTGTTCTTTGAGAGCATTTTACCTCATTGATGTATTTTGTGTTACTAATGCAGCAGTAATAGTGACATTTAAGGGATACTTTGTAATTGCTATGTTTGTTCTCTTAAATATAGTTCTTCGTAGCTGCCATGAGAGTATTTTATGTTTGTTGAAACAATTTTGCTTTATACATGTTGTACAAATTGCCTCAACAAGAAAATGAGGCGACTTCCCTTATAAGTGTTGAATATATAACCAATGTATCTTACTTACAAAGAGCCATGCTTTATAAATTTGCTCGTTTTTATATTTATACTTACCTTTACAATGTTACTAAAGACAAATATAAAACAGTTATAAATCAGAAAGTCTTAAAAAAGAAATTGGTGTTATAGATACGACTTATAGCTGTTCTTAAGAGTATCTCTTATAAGAATGTATAACAATATAATAAATATGCTGTAAGAATATTTATATAACAATATTATAGTGCTATTTTGTTCTCAACAGCTAAATTGCATCATTTGCTATATTTATGAGTCAATATTGAATTTCTGAAACAACTATAAAATCTTTATAAGAATTGAATTTTCTATAATTCAAAGGTTATAAGAGAAGTGTTTCGGTTGGGTTATGACTGCTTGATTAAATTTTTAATGCAATCAGGATACGCATGTGATTAGTACTTCTGTTAGACTCGTTGCCTTTGTTTTCTTTCTTATTGTTTCATCTTACCCCTTTACCGTGACCTAGTGTATGTCTGTTTTTTTTTAATGCCTTGATGGGTTCCTAGGCGAGAAGAAAGTGTACCCGTTAATCCTTTTGTTATTTGAAATTAAATATTTAATGTATTCTTTTTCATTCATTATTTGTTTGGTGATGGATTTTGTTAATTTAACTCTTCCATGTTGTGACTGGCTGTATGACAAATATTCTATTAAAAAAAATCTTTAAAATTACATTATATCAAGACCTTATAAAAGACTATTTTGATAAACAAATTAAATTTTGCCTCACTATTCAGCTATTAAAATTAGTCGGGTATTATCTCTTACATAGTATTGATAAAAACATTGCTGTTTTTAAAATATGTGATATTAAATCAGGTCATACTCCAAGGAAGTACTTAAAAATGTTTTTATAATTCAACAGAGTCCTCTCGGAGATTATTAATTAGTTGAATTTTGTTGTTAGATAAACCGAGTTATACCTAATAACATTGATCGCTTCGCACAGTAAAATGTAATTCGTCCGTCGCCGTTTGATGCTTTAGTTGAATATTCCGAATAAGAAAATTCATTGCCATTCTCACGGTCAACAAGCAGTTCTCGTCTTGATGTCAAACCAACTTAATTATTCTTTTATTAATCTACAGTGATATAAGGAAGTTATTTTTTAAAATTAATTTTAAGAAATTTGTGAACGAAAATGTCGTCGATACTACTTGCAATTTTGATTCTAATGATTTTGTTCTATTTGAAATTCATCAGACCAGCGGATTATTGGAGGAAGCGTAGAGTTTTTCATGTTTCGGCGGTTAGAAATTTTTTAAAAGTGGTGCTTAGCAGGAAATCTTTGTTTGAAATTTCGCTCGACTCTTATCGGGATTATCCGGATAGAAGGTAAGTTTATTTTCTCTAAAAATTGCGTAGTATTCATTCAAAATTTTTTGCTAGTACATGCAAATAAAAATATATTACTTATTAAGTTAATTAATAAACTAAAACAAGAAGTAATTCATTGTAATTGTTACATATAGTAGTAGAGAAGATATTCGGTATTATTGGCGCAGGAAAAATAGGTATATAGTGGGGCAATTAAAATTTCCACCCCTCTTATCTTCATTATTTATTGAGATATCGTAATTATTTTTTTGAATAAAAACTTTATTTTAAAAGGATTCAATTATTCCGTGATGTCGTGACTTACTTACAGTTTTTCCAGAATTAACAGTAAATCGCTATATTTATTTTTATTGAACATTTTTGGTTAAAAACCTTTTATTAAAATTTTTCTGTCAAAATGTCCCCAACAAACATTTTGTGTAGGGAAATAAAAGGCCCAATAACTGTTATCCTCCAATTATAATTATGGCCATTTAACTTTTATAATTTAAAGGCCGGTATATATAGGTCACTGCGGCCGACAAAAAGTCAGCAATATCCCTGCAATGCATTGTGAAATAATATAGGAATATGTTACCTTAAAAAACTATTCATAAACCTTAGTGTTTCCATTGAGAATAACCTTAATTACATCAGTGGCATACCTAAACATTTTTGTTATTGACAAACCTCTAAGAAAGTCTACCCGCTCTTGTCTTATTCATTATTTGAAGATATTGCTACAGAAAAACTTGCTACTAACTACAACATAAAAGAAATTCCCATTATCAATCCTTGCTTCAAGATAGTTGGTATGTCTGAGAATTTAAAAGAAGCAGATTTGTTACATATTTGAGCTACCAAAACAGAAATTTAACATGATAATTCTTTGAAAGTTATAATTATGGTACCGTTAAAGAAGAATAATAAAATGTTTCAAGTTATAGTTCAGTCTTCCTCTCACACTTACAAAAAAGTGATGGATCAAGGCAAAGTTTATATAGGTTATGATGGTATGATGGTATTGACTTGCTTCGCTGCTATAAATATTCCGGTTTTCGTCACACGTCTATATAAAATCTGTTCATCTATATCACATAATCTGTCCTCCGTGTAGCAAAAATCACAAAGTCGATGAATATACTGTAAAGGATAATAATGTAAAATACTGTATTAGTTGTCACAATAGTATTCGTTAAATATTTCAAAAGACTGCTTGGACTCTAGTTCAAGATCATTCGCGTGTGTTTACATATGTGCTAAATTGTGATCGTTCAAAAAAAAAAAACAATGACTGCTAAAGTCAGTGATTAAAAGCACAAGTATTAGAAATTAAAAATTTAAAAAACCGACTTCAAAAACATGCAGATGCCATTACCACATCTTAACCAAATTTATATGGGACCACCCCTGAGGTACCCCCTTACTAACAAACAAGAATCATATAAATCGGACAAGGTGGTAAAGCATTATCGCTAAACATACATAAAAAATAAAGAGTTTGAGGATTTTCTCATGTACCCAATTATTAGATTTTGACCAAATTTATATGGGACCACCCTTGAAGTATCTCCTTTTTAACAAAAAAAGAATCATTGAAATGGGACACCGTATTAAAGAATTATCGCTAAACATACATAAAAAAAATATATTGCGACGAGTTGAGAACCTCCTCCTTTTTTGAAGTCGGTTAAAAATTAAAAGTGTGCCAATAAAAATAATTTTAAAATGTGTAAAGAAAATCAACAAAACCGAATCTTCTGAAGCGCAAAAAATCAGGTCATGATACTGGAGAACCAAACTAAGATGGAAACAACAGTTTGCGACGACAAGGAAAAAATTGAGAAAAAATATAGCTCAAAGAAATAATCAGCTATACACGGGTTGACTAAGCAATTGCAGGAAATGCAATTAAGAATAAAACAAATGGAAATGATGCTAGGTTTGCAAAAACAACAACGGTATATGGAAATAGACTCAGAAGAAGACATTGTCAATAAAGAAACAGTTTGCATAGTACAAAGAAGCAAAAGCAATAGCAAAAACCGAAAAATGAGAAAATCTCCTGAAGTGTTACCTCAAAACACAACCAAAGAAAAATACAATGTACAAAAAAAAGCAGAATTAAAACACCCAAATGAAAACAACAAAGTATTGCACAAAAAGAACAACCGAAACAAAATTACCACCACCAATAATAGTAACTCAGGTTATACACTTTGAAGAGTTAAGACCAAAACTAATAAGTAAACAAAACACAATTTTCTAGCTACCACATTAAATAACGATGAAAACAAATTAAACTTAAAAGATGAACAAGCATATAGAACAATGACAAAATATGTCTCCAACCAAGGCTATCAGTGGCATTCATATGAGATGAAACAAACCAAGCCAATAAAAGTAATGGCTAGAAACCACACCCTCCTGCAAGCCAGAAGATATAGCTGAATAATTAAGGCGCAGTGGATTTAAAATCTTGGATGTGGTTAATATTCAAAGGAGAGAAACTAAAGAAGAAGAAAGAGGAAATCAAGTTATAAAAACTGTTATAAAAAAGTCATTGCCGCTATTCATGGTAACATTTGAAAACGGTAAAGATATTAAAAGGATTTATGAAATTAAGACATTACAAAAGCCCAAAATTGATACCCCAATGCAGACGGTGCCAAAGATATGGGCATACTATACATTGTTGTAATAGGCAATCAGTGTATGTTAAATGTGCCAAAAGCTATCTTACAGAAGAGTATGAAAAACTGGCAAGTATACCACCAAAATGCCCAAATTACAATCAAGCACATCCAGCAAGCTATAGAGGATGCGAAGTGGCAAAGGAGATACACTACAGAAGAGACCAGGTAAGCAAAACTAACCGCAATAGAAATAATAGCCAATCTAGACGACCTATCAATAATAATGCACAAAGAATGGCAAATTTGACATACTCAAACGTGGCTAGTAATAACAGACCTAATCAAACTAAAAACGAACCTTTAACGAACCAAATAATGCCTATGCTTAATACAATTCTAGACAATTACCAGATTAGAGGAGGCCACCTTCCTCCAAACGTCTAGACATCCTTAATGGCGCTTAAAGACATTTTAACATGGAATGCCAATGGACTCCCTGACCATCGAGAAGAGCTACAGGTGTTCCTAATAGAACAAAGCTATACACAACTTAAGGGATACAAAGTCTATAGTACCATATATTCCTCGGATATCGCTAGAGGTGGAAGCGCTGTAATAATAAAATAAAATATTAACCATTATGACGAGAATAAATAAGTAACAGAAGAAATCCAGGTAACAGCAGTTAACATAAAAACGAATGAATATAGTTTCGTAGTCGGAGCAGTATATATCCCACCACGATATAATTTGAAAAAAGAAAATTACAGAGAACTTTTACGACAAATGGGAGAAAATTTTATCTTGGGAGGTGATTTTTATGCCAAAAATATCATCTAGGGCTCGAGATTAACAACCACTTAAGGTAGGGAATTGCATACAGTTGCAAGTGAAATTGGGTGTGACTACCAGTCAACAGGAAAATCAACCTATTGGCCAACCGACAGAAATAAAATACCTGACTTACTGGACTTGTACATCACTAGAAAAATACCCGAAAACTTTATTAAAATAGTAGAATACTTTGACTTAGACTTAGACCCAAAAGACAGACTGGGCAAGTCTTAAAACTGAATTAAGTAATAGAATCGAACTAAGTGCACTACTAAGAACAAAAGAACAAAAAATTCGAATATTTGAATATTTTAATATTCAAATAGTGAATAATTTGGGTATTTGATTAAACGAATATTTGAATAAAGAAATGTGAAAAATTCCGAGCCCTAATAATAACTAATACCTCTAAGAGCGTGACCAAGCTATTAACAGTATTTCCATTTTTAAGCTATTATTTGTTATCTTTTTTAAAATTGTTTTTAATTAATCCCTATGACATAGTATTATTCATTAATAGGATTTTGTTTAATCCAAGGTATCATTTTATATTATTTTTATGCCGAAATTAATAATAAAAAAATAGATGATTTGTCCGTAAAATTTATATATGAATTATATCTTATAATACAAGGAAGGGTAGCCCTCAATCCCAATTTTTTAAATATATCCTTTTCACCGACGAGGCTATCTTTACGCGACAATATTTAACTCTCATATTACACATTATTGGTGTAATGGGAATCCACATGTTAAAAGGGTATCACATTACCACCACTCGTTTTAAGTTAATGTTTGGACACCAACTTAAGGTAACAAATTAATTGGTTATCAGTTATCACATTCCAGCTGGAAATCTGAATGGTAATATGTATTCGCGATATTGGAAGATTTTACGCTAAACGAGCGAAGATCTCTCTCATTTATACACTATGGAACTCCTCGCAATTTGATTAAAGGTTTTTTAATTGGTTGCGTATCGATGGGTTGATACAGGTGCAGAAGCTTAGATTCATGCGATTTCAATGCTTTGTACTACACCGTTTGGTCTTATGTTAAGGAAAAAGCCTCTGCTACACAGGTAAACTCACGTCAAGACGTGCAAGACATAATTAAACATCACTTTAATGACCTCATAGCTGATCTTCAACCATTTAGAAAATTAATGAATTCTTTATAAAAAAGAATAGAATTTTATATTCGTGAAAACGGAAGACATTTTAAACACTTACTCTAACTGTTTGAATATTTCATGTTTTTAGTCAAATTTATACTAATTTTGTTCTTGTGATTTTTTGTTTAATTAATAACATTAGCATTAGAATAATGTTATTGTTTTTGGTTTTTACTAAATAAGTAATAGTATTATAAAAATACTTGCTTTATAGCAACATCAGTTATTACTTCATCATTTTCAACTCAAAATATTCCGAAAACGGTATACAGTATATAGTTTTACCAAGAGTCCTTTTTTGGCGTAACATTAAATGATGTTTGAGTTTACATGTAATTTGGACTATAAAATTTAACCTCAAAAAAGTTATGTTA